GGAGGAGAAGAAGAAGAGGAGGAGGAGGAGAATGGAGAGACAGAGAGAGAGAGAGAGAGGAAGGAAGGAAGGAAGGAAGGAAGGAAGGAAGAAAAAGAGATAGAAAGAGAGAATGAGAAAAAGAGAAAGAAAAAGAGAGATAGAGAGAATGAGAAAAAGAGAAAGAAAGAAAGAAAGAAAGAGAAAGAAAAAGAAAGAAAAAGAAAGAAAGAAAGAAGAAGTGGGAACAGGAGGAGGAGGAGAAGAAGAGGAGGAGGAGAATGGAGAGAGAGAGAATGAATAAAAGAAAGGAAAGAAAAGAGATAGAAAAAGAGAAAAAGAAAAAGAAAGAAGGGAGGGAGGGAAATAGAGAAAGCTGTTCCTCTTTCTTCCTACTGGCCACTTTTGGTGGCCTGAAGGGCTCTATTTTCAGGGACACACACACACAGCACAATCAGTCCATCGGTCCCTCTGGTCCCTGCTACGGTTGCTGGTACAGCACACAGAAGCTCCATTATTCACTTTGATCCTTTTCTCTTCATCCCTGCCAGAAGGTGGATTTCGGAGGGCTTTCACGGGTGTGTGCTGCTGGTACGAGGTTGTCCGGGCCACAAATGACACTACATTCTCCCAGCGGTAAACCATTAAGACCCTGCTAACTTCTTACAGCCTCAACAACGGACTTTGTTCCAGTAACCTTGGCCTTCCTTTGTGAGAGAGCCATCCCATTGTTGATGCTTTGATTCATGATGCTCAAGTGACTTTCCCTTTCCTGGCCTTTGGCATTTTGCTGCCGTGCCTTGCAAAGGTCATTGTAGACTCACTTGTGATGACTGAACAATTTGCCAATGATCAAGTTCCGTGTAAATAAGGGCAGATTTTGCTCCGCTTTTCTAAACTGAGCAGAGAACAGGAATCCTTTTGTGGGAAAACCAGAGAGGATCTGGCTGTCACAGGAGAACGTGTGGCTTACTTGACGATGCAAAGATCTTAGGAGCTGGAGGATGGTACCATGCAACGGTAGGTTTGCATCCCCTGTGCATACATCATCAGTTTTTAATGAGACAAACAGGCATGACTTTCGGCACGGATTCGAATCCCAGCTGCTACTTTACATTACCCTAGAACAGTAATGGTGAACCTATGGCACATGTGCCAGAGGCGGCACTCAGAGCCCTCTCTGTGGGCACGTGCGCCGTTGCCTCAGACCCACCTCCCCCCGTGGCCCCCTCTTCCCCAACAGCCCCCCTGGATGAGAGTTGCGCCCAGGCATGGCCCGTGCGGAGCAGCGCAGCCAAGGACATGGTAGCCAGGCAGCGGGGACAAGACTCCGCCCTCACGCCCCATCACACGCAGTTGATGCTGCGGGGTGCAGGCAGAGGGCGTGGCCACCATGGCGCTATTGGGTCACCTGGGCTATCTGCGACTGGCCGTGGAGGTGGCGAGTGGCCCTGCGGGTGGGCGGGGGCAGGGCTGGCGGGGGCAGAGCGGGCGGGACGGGGCAGAGCGAGGGCCAGGGCGGGGGTGGGGCCATTTTTCGGGCACTTGGTCTCTAAAAGGTTCGCTATCACTGCCCTAGAATATTTGTTGCTCAGGATAGAACTGTGGGGTTCCTGATTATCCCAAAGATGCTTTTTTTTTTCACGAGGCAACTGGACTTTCTTGTTTTTCTTTGAAGATGTTTCGCTTCTCATCCTTTCTTCAGCTTCTTGGGTGAGAAGCAAAACATCTTCAAAGAAAAACAAGAAAGTCCAGTTGCCTCGTGAAAAAAATATATATCTTTGGGATAACTATGGCCTGGATGACTGAGAATCTCCATAGACATCTAAGCTGGGTTGTTTTCTTGCAGACCTTTCATTGCCAAACTGGGTTACATCATCAGTGTGAATAGCTGCACTCAATGCCATGCTGCCAGTTGACGGTATGGGTTTTTTAAAAAAAAGGCACAGTGATGGCCAGGATGCTGCAATTAAAGCGCTCTGCATTTTTATCAGCATCACATCATTGTGGTTGCTGTGTTGACTTTTTTTTGACCTGGCAGAAACTTCCATGACTTTATCCATGGCTTATTTTCTTTGCCATCGTTGTTTTTCTGTCCTGTTATTTATGCATGTTTTTTCCCCTACTGTTCATTATTTTTTTAAAAAATGTTTTAATTATTGGAAGCCACCCAGAGTTGGTGGGAGTTGGGCAGCATATAAATTAATAAATTACTATTATTTTCACACACTGGGTGAGGGGAGTCTGTTTCTCAGCCTAAACCACCCCTTCTGAACCGAAAATAAAAAAAAGGTCTGTGGGATCCTTGGTGCAGAGCACTGATGATGTTACCTAGTTGGGTAATAAAATGTCTGCTAGAAAACAACCACGTTCACAGAGCACCAAGGACCCCACAGTCCAACCCTGAGCTACAAATATTCCCTGCTATCAAAATAAGTCTGGTGGTTGTTTTTTTTTTTTTTTTAGACCAACACATTGCATCCAAAAACGAATACCAAAAGCAGATTTCCTTCTGATTTTTTTTTACCTACCATGAATTAACACTCTACCCTCTCAAACCAGAAATAATACAGACGAACAAGTTAGGTCCTCTACTTTTATGTATGCATGCTGCCACCTCCTGGTATTATACAGAAAAAAAATTACCTCCCAAATAAATTCATTTAATATTAGCAGCAAGTGTGTGTGTGTGGGGGGGAGGAACTTTGCTGCTGAAGTGATCCATTTCAGGGAAGTCGGAAAGCAAGAAAAAAAAAACAGCAGCCATATATTTTAAAAAGGTGAAACGGGACTGAATGATTCAGTTAAGAAAAAAATCTCTTGTGTCTGTGCTTGGCATTCACAATTCTAACCTAGCTGTTGCAACTTCAGGAAGCAGAAATTCCAAATATACTTAACCTTGGTCTATAGCAGGGGTGTCAAACCCAATTTCATTGAGGGCCGCATCAGCATTGCGGTTGCCCTCGGGGGGGGGGTTGGCCAGGGTGGGTGTGGCCTACTGGGTGGGCGTGGATGGAGTGGGTGTGGCCTATTAGGTGGGCATGGCCAGCTCTACATCGTTCACGTCAAGGGTGCCTGTGGGGGCCTGGGCAGGAGTGGGACAGATCTGAGGGTCTCTGGCAGAAAGGGGTGGGACCAGGACAAGTGCCAAGGCATGGTCCACCCGGCTCAGCCTCTCGGCGCTGTGAGGAGAGCGCCCCACTGCCTGCCGAAACCCCTCCCTCGGAGCCCATCAAGCCGGATATGTGAAGTAGGCGAGGACCATTTGCTGGCCACTTCCAGGCAATGGTCCATTTCTTCATTCCTCACAAAGAATGACACCTCCCCAGCATGCACCCAGGGGGCGAGGCCTACGCGGCAGGGGCTGGTTCCTCGCTGTTTCCAGATGGCCTTGTGGAGCTAAGACTGAATGCGTTTCAGCATAGATGGCCACCACAAAATTGTACATTGGCTCCCGGCCGGCTTGGGCCAGGGCCAAGGCAGCGGGGGCCGTTCCCTCACTTTTTCCAGGATGGCTTCGCGGGCCACATGAAACCACTTTGCAGGCCGCATCTGGCCCCCGGGCCTTGTGTTTGACATGTCTGGTCTATAGTACCCTTTCAAATAAGTGGCTTTCCAGTCTTTTCTTAAAAACCTCCAGTGACGGAGCACCCACAACTTCTGGAGGCAGATTGTTCCACTGGTTAATTGTTGTAACTGTCAGGAAGTTTCTCCTTAGTTCTAGGTTGCTTCTCTCCTTGATTAGTTTCCATCCGTTACTTCTTGTCCTGCCTTCGGGTGCTTTGGGAAATAGGTTGATCCCCTCTTCTTTGTGGCAGCCCCTCAAATACTGGAATACTGTTATTATGTCAATGATTCACTTAATAACTGTGGCAAGAAAAGTCATAAAATGGGGGGAAACTCACTTAAGAACAGAACAGAACAGAACAGAACAGAACAGAACAGAACAGAACAGAACAACCGAGTTGGAATTGCTTTCCAATTTTATTTCAAAGAAGAATCTGTGAGGGCTTTCCCGTAGTCAGCAGGATGTGCTCGTTTTGATGATCCAAGATAGGCGTGGACCATTTCATCTCCACTGCAGCCTTATCTTCCCTGCAGTCTGCAGCCAGTCTGGCTCCTCACTCTCTTATTCAATCCCAGGAAAGGATGTCATGAGAAAAACTCCACCAGCTGGCCTGTCCCAGTAGAAAGGGCCACCCGCCAAGGGAGGTGTCAGAGTGATGCAAAGATGAAAGCAGCCACATCGTCCGCGGCCCATCCTTTGGTGCTTCCCACAATGGAGTCAGTTCAAAGCAACTAAGAGAAACCCTCAAACATTCTGAGCATAAGACAGCAACTACAGACAGCTCTTTCTAAAGGGAAGAAAAACACAACCCAAGCAACTTTTCAACACCGCATTAATTTAACCCAGAGATGCCGTATAGACTAAAACCAGGACTTCCTCCCAGTAGCAGCCAAAATGAGGGCAACAATGTCTTCTCTTCACTATGAATGTGTGTTTTCAAGTGTATCATAAGTTACTGGTTATTTCAGGTATTGGCCACCATCACAATGTCTTTGCATTATAGCACGGGTGTCAAACTCGCCGCCTCATGTGACGTGTCCCGACGTATCATGACTTTTTTTGCACAGCCTCCGCATGATGCAACTGGCCCGCGGGCCGGCAGTTTGACACCCCTGCATTATAGTTTCAATAAAATAACATGGCCAAAAAAAATATTAGCACTGATATCTTGCATGTTCTTTTTGGTAAAGTTTTGGCTATTTTTATTCTTTGTTTTAAAAGGAAACTATTACCGTTTAATTTTGAGCTCGCTAAGGGTAAGAAAAATGGGCCAGAGGTGCTACTTTAGTCAATCTCTTTATGATCTGGTTTCAAAAAGATGTTCCAGAGATTGCAGGAAGACAAACCTAGAACTTGACTGCAACTTTAAAGCAGCTACATCAATGCAGCTGCTTTAAACAGTTGCTGGCAGGTTTTAGAGTCATGTTCCCGTGTGGTCCATAGCATTTTTTTTTCAAATTATTTCTTAACCAACCCTATGCATTTTATCTCTTTTCCTAAGGCACTTCAGATCTTTAATACAAATAAAAAGCACTTTTGAGGTAGCTGTGCGTTGCATGCAAGATACAGTAACCCCCTTTTGTAAAGCTGGAACTTTGGACAGCCAAAACAACACAAGACTAGCAAAAGAAAAGCAAGACTAGCAAAAGAAAAACTCAGCTCAAACACAGTTGTTCCTAGACAGTCGCTGGACGTGCACAAAAACACTGTGTTGCATCTTAACCGCTTCCAGCTTCCAACTTTGCAGGGTTCATTAAATTTCTGGCAGAATACAGTATTGGCCTCTGCAATTTGGAGTGCAGATTTCACTCCAAAATCACAGTGTGGGATAAAATCAGTGTCATCAAGTGCCTGAAGATACTGTGTGTAGGAAAGTAAACATCTGTTTGTTATGATACCTAATTAAAAAAAAATAACTGAAGAGAGGCGTGGCAATTCTCACACTTGCTTAAATATCTAAAAGCTCTATGAACTGGTGAAAGCAACCGGAAACTGGAGCAGTCAGCCTGAGTTGGCCTCATCAGTCGTCCCCACCACAAATCTTCAGCATCGTGCGCCGATAATCCCCAGAAGTGTCCGACTGCAAGAAAAAGATGAACGGTAACATTATTTTCAAGCAGCTTACAGCCCTCCCATAATTACACAGACGAGTCTCATTTTCCTTGCCTCCGAGATTTATTGCAAACTTTTAAAAGCACTCTGATTTTATTTGAGTAGTTTTAGGTTGCTTTCTTTCACCCCCTCTGGTTGTTTAAAATTTGATTTCCCATTTGGAACAAGCGCCAATCAACGGAGCACCTGCCCGATTTCAATGTTATTTTCAAACCTGCAGAGGGTTGAACCTGTTTGATAAGAACGCCAGTCACGGGGATGAAAGCAGAAACTGTCTGAAATTACATCTATTGTTAGCTCAAGTCAATATTTTAAAAGTGCTCCCAAATAGAATAGAATAGAGTTGGAAGGGACCTTGGAGGTCTTCTAGTCCAGCCCCCTGCCCAAGCAGGAGAACCTATACCGTCTCAGACAAGTGACTGTCTAGCTTCTTCTTAAAAACCTCCAGTGATGGAGCGCCCACGATTTCTGGAGGCAAAGCTGTTCCGCTGGTTAATTGTCCTCATTGTTAGGAACTTTCTCTTTAATTCCAGGTTGCTTCTCTCTTTGGTCAGTTTCCAACCATTGTTTCTTGTCATTGTTTCTTCAGGTGCTTTGGTGAACAACCTGGCCCCCTCTGCCTTGTGGCAGCCCCTCAGATACTGGAACACTGCTATCATGTTTGTGTGATTTCTCTGTCTCTCCTGACACAAACTTTGGGGTTGTCTGTCTTACGCAACTCAGTAGCTCACAGCCTTGTCGGAACACTAGCACAAAATCCTTCTGTGTAACAGGAATTCTGAAATCTGGAGCAAGCTACATCTTGGTCCATAATGCTCAGAACTCATGCAGTGAAAGAAAGAAAGAAAGAGAGAGAGAGAGAGAGAGAGATTCTCAGTCATCCAAGTCATGGTTGTCCTAAAAATTCTTTTTCATGAGGCAACTGGACTTTCCTGTTTTTCTTTGAAGACATTTCGCTTCTCATCCAAGAAGCTTCATGTTTCTTGTACAGCAGAGCTGAAGAAGCTTCTCGGATAAGAAGCGAAACGTCTTCAAAGAAAAACAAGAAAGTCCAGTTGCCTCGTGAAAAAGCATCTTTGGGACGAGGGGTCCTTAATGCTCTCTGAGCTTGGTTGTTTCCTTGCAGATATTTCATTACCTGACTAGGTGACATCTTCAGTGCACTGATGATGTTACCTAGTTTAGGCAATGAAACATCTGCAAGAAAACAATCTAGCCCAGAGAGCACCAAGGACCCCTCCTCTCAAGTGACTGGTCATAAAGCGAGGACTATCTTTACTTGAAATAAGAAAGGATCTGGATTTGTTCCACCTACACAAGCTGAATTAGTCAGCCACGAATACACCATGTTTAAAATCTTCACAATAAGCCAGAATACTTCAGCATCCTGCCTTGAAGTTTGCCATTTCTGCTTACAGTCTGATCACCGACACCTAGAAATTTGGAGAGTCCCTGAAAAATGAACGGAAAGTACTCACACTAATAGCAGAATGCAGAGACTCTCCGTAGAGCTTCTTATATTCCTCGCGAATATCCAGAAGATCAATTTCTGACCTGGATACTAGAATTCTGCTCAATGTGATTTCATCAGTTCCAGGTCCCTAGAAACAAGGAAGAGAAGGGGGAAAAAAAAACCTCATTAAAGGATGAGTTTTTAGCTGAGATTTATAAACTCTGCTTTCAAAAACGCAGAGTCCATAAGCACACACATTTTTACACCAGAGACCCACACAGATTTAAATATTCAAAACATGAGCAGATCAGTTTTTTAGAACTCAAAGAGTTATGGCATTTAACCAGTATTTTAAAACTGGGGATCCCTAATAGGTGAGCAAGAAAAACGTGGTTTAGAAAATATCTAAGTATTTACGCCCGGTTTTATCTATAATGGTTCAAAAGCTGCCTTCCATAGTTGTTGGACTACAACTTGGTCATTAAGCAAAGTGGTTGCTAAGTATAATCCTTACTGTGCTTACATCCTTACTTCAGCTTTCCTACTATTTATAGACCCGCGAAGATCATAAACCTGAGATGGATTGCAAAGTTACTTTTTCATTACCATTGTAACTGCCAAAGATCACTGTAAAGACAGTCGCTAAATGAGGACTAGCTGTATTAGCATATGATAGACACATGAGACCTCCTCATCGTGGCTCTATTTATATGCTGTACTTACCCTAGCGACTGAATAAACTTATTTTCTGGATGTGCACAATCCAACCAATCAAGTAATCTAAACTCTAGTTTAATGAAGAGAAGGACGAGGGGGGACATGATAGCAGCGTTCCAATATTTCAGGGGCTGCCCCAAAGAAAAGGGAGTCAAGCTATTTTCCAAGGCACCTGAAGGCAGGACAAGAAGCAACGGGTAGAAACTAATCAAGGAGAGAAGCAACCTAGAACTAAGGAGAAACTTTCTGACAGTTAGAACAATTAACCAGTGGAACAACCTGCCTCCAGAAGCGGTGAATGCCCCAACACTGAAAGTTTTTAAGAAGAGACTGGACAGCCATTTGTCTGAAATGGTATAGGGTTTCCTGCCTTAGCAGGGGGTTGGACTAGATGACCTCCAAGGTACCTTCCAACTTTACTATTATTATTATTAACTAACTATGATTTAATGCTGACCAAGTTTAACATATTGCACAAATGCAATATGACTAACTGACCAGGTTAAATACAGGGCCTGATCTCAGCGGCAGAATAATTTCCCTAATCCATCTATTCTAATTCTCCTCCTTTTTATTATTACTATCTGTTTACATCAACAGGAAATGGGGCTAAAGTGACTTCATGAACGTAACGATGCTCCACAAATGATCCTTTGTGCAATAACACCATGATGTGTGTGGCATTATTGTGGCTTCTACCAAATACTGAAGCATTCAAGCAGGTTTTTCCAAGAATCCCCAGTTTTGGAAAGGACCTCGGAGGTCTTCTAGTCCAGAGGTGTCAAACTGCCGGCCCGTGGGCCGGTTTCATCATACCGGCAATGGCGAAAAAGCTCCGATACGTCACGCGACGTCACGTGATGTCGCAAGTTTGACATGTCTGTTCTAGTCCAACCCTCTGCTCAAGCAGAAGACCCTATACCAGTGATGGGGAACCTTTTAGAGACCGAGTGCCCAAACTGCAACCCAAAACCCACTTATTTATCTCTGGGTGCCAGGTGGACGTGGGCTACTGGGTGGCCGTGGCTGTGGTGGTCATGGCAGACTGGGTAGGTGTGGCCAAGGTGGGCATGGCCACCTCGATGTTGATCGTGGGGAGGGACGCCTGTGGGAGCTGGGCAGGGATGGGGAAGATCCAGGGGGTCTCTGGCAGGTGGGGCGGTGGGCAGGAGCTCGTCCTGCGGGGTGAGGTGAGATAAGGTGAGGCAGGGTGGGAGTGCCATTGTTGCAGAGCAAGGTGAGGCAAGGGCCGGGGTGGCTGCTGCTTGACACCATCAGCCCCCACACATAGAGGCCAGCAAGCGCATGGGAGCCAACAGTGTCTGTCAGCAGCTCCGCAGCCCACCGCCAGCAGTTCAGAGAAGCTGCCTCTGAGCTGGACGGCCGGCCGACAGTTGAGGAGGCGATGCAGTGGGTTGTGCCCGGGAAAAGGAGAGCATGCGAGGCCAGGAGGGATGGGATGGGGGGGGAGGGAAACAAGCCGTGCTGGGATGCATCCGGCCACGTGGGACCTCAGTGAGTTAGCGGGCGGCTGGTTGAAGAAGGACAGTTGCCATCTCCGGGGCATGGCGCACATGCCCACAGAGAGGGCTCTGAGTGCCACCTCTGGCACGCATGCCATAGGTTCACCACCACTGCCCTATACCATTCTAGACAAAAGGCTATCCAGTCTCTTTTTGAAAACTTCCAGTGTTGGAGCACCCACAACTTCTGGAGGCAAGTAGTTCCACTGGTTAATTGTTCTAACTGTCAAGAAGTTTCTCCTTAGTTCTAGGTTGCTTCTCTCCTTGATGAGTTTCCATCCATTGCTTCTTGTCCTGCCCTCTGGTGCTTTGGAGAATAGGTTGACCCCCCCCCTCTTCTTTGTGGCAGCCTCTCAAGTCCTGGAAGACTGCTATTGTATCACCCCTAGTCCTCCTCTTCATTAAACTAGGCATACCCAGTTCCCTCAACTGTTCATCATCATATGACTTAGTATCCAGACTCCTTATCATCTTTGTTGCTCTTCTCTCCAATCTTTCTAGAACGCAACGTGTTTTCCAGACCAAAACAAAAAAACAAAAAACACCCAACCCTCTGCGTTTACAGGGTGATCATGGTTTATCTCAAGGTGATTGTCTGTTGAATCAAGCAGAAGGCTATAATTTGTTGGGAGAACAACCAATCTGCAGGTTTCAACCTTGCCTAGAGAGAACCTGGTTTGAAATTGTAAATAACTGGCATCTAGTATTGTAGGCCCTACTGGGCAACGTGGTTGGTGATCCTTTACAACAGTGGTTCTCAACCTTTTTAATGCCGCGACCCCAACCGGTCGTAAGTCGAGGACTAAACCGGTCGTAAGTCGAGGACTACCCAACCGGTCGTAAGTCGAGGACTTTCCCTGCTCGGGAGTGCCGTGCATGCGTGGTTCCGCCCCCTGTGCCGGCCGAGGCGTAGCTGGCAAGTGGCAGAGACAGAGCAGGCCGACCACCAGCTGGCCCAGCGCAAGGGAGGTAAGGCACCCGCCGGAAAAGGGAAAAAAAATAACGGACACAAAAATGGCGGACAAAAAAAATGGCAGACAGCCTTGCTTGGCGACCCCCGTGAAATGGTCAATCGACCCCAAATGGGGTCCTGACCCACAGGTTGAGAACCACTGCTTTACAATCTGGCTTTGGGAAAAACAACCTCATACACTTCTTACCTTTATGGATTTGTGCACTTTTTCAGCAAAGAAGGCAGGGGCGTTATTTATACATTTCACTATGAAAAGAGAGGAAAAAAATAGAATTGAAAATAAGCCTTTTATACTGTCTGGCTATATTTTGAACAGGATTGGAATACAAAGCAGAAAACATCCCGGTAAATTGTTTAAGCATTTGCAAATCATCCCACAGATTAAATGCACGGACAAGAAGTGGGAAGTGCATAAATAAATAAAATATTAACCCGAGGGCTCGGTACTTGATTGCTATCATTTGCACGGTTTCCTTATCACAACCCTCTTGTGCATAACTTAATATTTACATTTGCAGAGTGGTTTGGGCAGACTTTCCACAGATAAAGAGCGAAAGCATCTATCAAAGTGTAATTGACCTTTTGGAGGCAAATTGGAAATTACATTTTGGAGTGGGATGAGTGTAAAAAATGTATCCTCTTTAGCTGCTGTATATGGTTTAAGATGAAATCTACAGTCTGCTTTCCCACTAAAAACGCTCAAAATAAGAGGAGGTAAGGACAAAATGTTGCTAAATAAGCCTCAACAGGAGGGATGGAAATCTATTTTGAGGTATACAATCCTCAATTTTGGGGGCAAACCAAGGGCTTTGCAGGAATAAGGAAAGTGGCACTCACTTCTTCCGCTGTATTTATATACAGCCACAGGTGCCCAAACATGCCAAAACCAAGACTTTTTAAAAGGATTCGAAACTCAAAATATCCTAATGAATATCAGGCTTGTAATTGGGCCATTTCCTACGCTTTGCCCTTGTTTAATAGCGAATTAGAGCAGAGTTCTCCAATCTTTCCGGTTTTGCGTACCGGTGGGGGGGGGAAGATGCTTCCACGAGAGTGGCGGGCCAGTGTGCACGTGTGTACCCCTCCATTTGCGCAAGCAGCAGGCACTCATGCCCGCTGCTCGTGCAAATGGAGTGTGCACACATTTGCGCGCCCTCTGCTTGCATAAGTAAGAGTGTTCATGGGCACTCACACACTACTTCTGCGGCCCGGTTCCGAAAGGCTCAAGGCCCAATAGTGGGCCATGGCCTGGGGGTTGAGTACCCCTGAATTAGAGAACCAACGTATCCTGCTAAGCAAAAATCAAAGCACAATAAAATGTTATCGTCAAGCTTCAAAGAACGCTTATGCTGATACAGCCATGCTGTTTCTTAGCTTGTCTACGGACCCAGGGGGGGGGAGGAGGGTGAATGGAATGTGAGCAGCAGGTGTTTATTTGCATGGGAATCAAGGTTATTCCAGAATTGTTTTTTGCAAGCAGAGATTTTTTCTTACAACAATTATCTGAAGATTAATTGGACAATGTGACCTGCACTGTCAGGGAGCGGGAAAGGGAGTTTCTATACTTTTAATATATCATTCTGGTGCCAAATTGTCAGAGCTGGTTTTCTATTCATCTGTGCCGACATGGTGTACTCAATAAAGTTTTGCATTAGAGCAGGGGTAGGCAACCTTGGCTCTTTTATGACTCGTGGACTTCAACTCCCAGAGTTCCTGAGCCAGCCATGCTGAGGGGAAAGGGAGAGGTTTCCAAGCTGGGCCATGCTGGCTCAGGAATTCTGGAAGTTGAAGTCCACGAGTCATAAAAGAGCCAAGGTTGCCTACCCCTGCATTAGAGATTGGAATGTGTCAGCTGTGCTTACTTCGTTGAGATCATCAGTCGGAACCTTGACAGTTATAGGCATTAAGTATGGCAATTGATCCAATCACACACACACACAACACACACACACACACAAATACATACATACATACACGCATGCATTGTATATATAGAAAGAGATCAACCCTCCATGAGATTTAGAAGGTTCAGAAGAATAGTGTATAAATACACACACACATACATACTAGCAAGATCATCGCATGCTTCCCTTACCGACAGCCAAAAGGAGTTCGGCAAAATCGCCCGATGTTTCATTCAGGACACTGTCCTCCATCCGGTGCCCACTAAGCTTTCTGTACTCCTCAAATGCTTAAGAGAGGACAAAGGAGAACAATGTCAGTGGTGTAAGCTGCGCGTACTTTAAGACGCCTGAACAAGAAGCCTGGAACATTTTTACTTCTGCCTCTACAAGCTCTCCCTCTTTTACAATATATAATTTGTAACAGCCTGAAATCTTATTTTCCACGCTTGCTTTTTTTTTTAAGTTTCTAGTCTGTCTTTCTTAGGATATTAAAATAACAACCACCATCTAACAAAAAGAAACTTGTTGCATTCCAACAGAAATAGTCTTCGACTTACAACAATTCGTTCAGTGAACGTTTGAAGTTACAACGGCACTGAAAAAAGTCGAGTTTTTCACACTTTGTGACTGTTGCGGCATCCCCCTGGTCACATGATCAAAATTTAAACGCTTCGCAACTAGTTCCTATTTATGACGGTCGCAGTGTCCCGGGGTGACGTGATCCCCTTTTGCAACCTTCTGACAAGCAAAGTCAGTTGGGAAGCCAGATTCACTTAACAACTGTGTTACTAACTTAATAACTGCACTGATCCACTTAATGACGGTGGCAAGAAAGGTGGTAAAATGGGGCAAAACTCACTTAGGAAAGGTCTCGCTTAGCAACATAAATTCTGGGCTTAATCGTGGTTGTAAGTCGAGGACTACCTATCACTTTTTAAATTTTTGGAGGAAAAGGAAGGAAGGAAGGCAATAACAATAGCTCTTAGACTTATATACCACTCCATAGTATTTTACGGCACTCTCTGAGCGATTTCCAGAGTCAGCATCTTCACCCCCAACAATCTGGGTCCTCATTTTACCGAGCTCGGAAGGATGGAAGGCTGAGTCAACCTTGAGCCGGTCAGGATCGAACTGCTGGCAATGGAATGCAGAGTTTTTGCCTGCAATACTGCATGCTAACCACTGCGCCACCCCGGCTAATCATGCAAGAACAGCTCAATGTGCCTCGGTTTTATTTTAATGCAGAAGATAATCCGTTTCTTACTGAGTTTGAGTTGAGCAACGCTGCTGGTGCTTAGAACCTCAATGAGTTTGGTTTCATCCGTTCCCCACCTCTTCTCGCCAGCAGTGTACAGGATCTAGAAAACAGGAGTGGAAGGAGCATAGAAATGGCTGTTCTTTTGCTAGGCCCCTATAATATTTCAAATAAAGTACTCTGGGCAATTATCATGCCAATTATCAAGGCTATCAGAGATAATCAGATTAAATCATGCTACTAAGACTCTTCATTTGGCAGACAAGCCAACTCATTTTGGGAGGAAAAAAAACTGTCAGAAGTCACAAGCATCAATTTCGCTTCCATTTCAGTTCAGACCAGATTTTTCCAAGATTTAGAGAGGCACAACTTGGCAAACCTCATCCACAATTTAAAAGTCTAAGTGGAGGAAATTTTTGATGGGCTTGTCCATGATCAAAAGATAAAGTTATTCTAATCCTGACCAAGAAAAACCACTAATTGATGGAAATGTTGTATACAGGGTTATATCTACTTGTAGGTGATGATACTGTTCACCTACAAAAAATTAGCACCCTTGTACGTCCAAACTATGAATTTTGTTTTACATTTTGATAAGTGTGCGCCAATATGATGAATCTTCAGAGACAGTCAAATCTAATGTACATTGGAAACTTACTGACTAGACAAACAAGTTTGCCAATGAAACTACAATGGACGGGAGCAAGGAAATGGTAGCATAAAGGGATAGACACATAGGCATTAGCTGGGTCTTCTAAGTGAAAAATAAAAGAATATAAGCTGCAAAAAACAGCTGCAAGAGGAAATGGCTAGACAGGGAAGATTAACTGAACGGGCTAACAGGAAAGCTAACTGAAGTGGAAAACAGGAAAGGCAAAGCTAAAACTGAAAAACAGGAAAGAATCTATTGTTCTAAGAATCCATAAAATAACCCAGAACTCAAAATAGGTAACTTAGCATGCCTAATGAGCCGATTGATATTATTTGACACACCTTGCATATATTATATCCTAATTTTAATGTACATGTGAAGTATGATTTAGTATGTAGGAGGCAGTCGGGAAGAGTGTAACCTCATAGTAACTCAGCCAATGGGGAATGAGGAGGGAGGTGGCAGCTGGGACAGGGTTGTATGAAGAATGGAATATTTTGGGTGGGAACTTTGAAGAGAACCAAAGCTTTGATAGCTTCTCTCCTTGCTTATTGCAACAAACGAAACAAAAGGCCCTCACTGTGTCTTGGCTGGTCAGGCGATCTTGATTTTGGTCCTGAAGGAAAGTAGCCAGGAGCACAATACACATTTCTAAGAGCAAACATTAGCCCCTAAGGCTAGTCTCAGATTGCATGGCTGTTTGTCCTTCACCTAACTAGTCGAAGCAAAATAGCTCAAAAATAAATGAACAAATCTCAACAACATAGGCTGTCAACCAGATTTTTCTGGCGATATAATGTTGAATTTTGCTTTTGACAACCTAACAATAGCACTGACACATCAGCTCAAAATCACTCTGGAGTGGGCAGGAAGAAATCCTATTCCAACAGGTTCAAACACAATAGAGCCAGTTTGGTGTGGAGGTTAAAATGCTGGCCTAGAAACCAGGAGACCGTGAATTCTAGTGCCTCCTTAGGTATGAAAGCCAGATGGATGACTATGGGCCAATCAACAGGAGACTGTGAGTTCTAATCCCGCTGTAAGCATGAAAACTGGCTGGTGACTTTGAGCCTATCCCCAGGAGACAGTAGGTTCTAGTCCCGCCTTAGGCATGAAAGCCGGATGAATGGCTTTGGGCCTGTCACTCTCTCTCAGCTCAACCCACACCACAGGGTTGTTGTTGTGGGGAAAAAAGAAGAAGGAAGAAGTATTTGATATGTTCACTGATTTGAATTACCTATACCAGGATTAGGCAACCTTGGCTCTTTTATGACTCGTGGACTACAACTCCCAGAATTCCTGAGCCAGCATGGCTCAGCTTGGAAACCTCTCCCTTCCCCTCAGCATGGCTGGCTCAGGAATTCTGGGAGTTGAAGTCCACCAGTCATAAAAGAGCCAAGGTTGCCTACCCCTGACCTATACAGTAATAAAGCCAGAATAAAAATCAAGTAAATAAATATATAGAGAGTTGAGGACCCCCACCAACTAATTCTAGGACAGCTGAGGGCTGGGTAGACACATGGGATGCTCAGTGGTATCCACAAAGAGGGGGAGGTTAAAAATTCAAGATGGCGACACCAACATTGCACAACCAAAGCCTTTTTCTTCTTTTTACATGAGTGTTGCAATACGGACACTTTGGATTACGATGCCTGGGCTGCTAAATGCAAACAGCCACTAGAGGGCAGCACAGAGATTCAGAAAACCTTTGTCGCCATCTTGTGTTCATCTGGGGAATCTCAGGAGTCAAAGTCCACACATTTTAAAGTTGTTCAGGTTGAAGAAAACCAGCCTAGACCTTTTAATATAAATAAATACGGCATCTTGAAGCCTGGATATCTGCCTTCAGATTCGAGTTTAAAAAAGCAGAAGGGCCTTTTAACAATTTGGAGATTTTTTTTAAAAAAAAAATTACAGGACCCTGCAGCTGGCTCTTTTCCAGACTGTGATTACCTGTGCATCTCTCTTTGCTACATCTTCATGGGCCTTTGGATTTTCATCTCTTTTGGCCTGTGATAGGATTGAAAAGAAGAAAAACATGAGCCCAAAATGAAACCTCAAATTAAATAACCATACAACATGATCCTGAATTCTCTGCAAGTACATCACACAAGGCAACTGCAAGGTCATTGATACAAATCTGCGAAAAGCTGCCTTACATCGAGCAGGGCCAACAGAGTCCTTTTGAAGTCTCCGGATGTGTCCCAGCCGACGTCCTCATTCATGCTGGACCTATAAACTGGAACCAAAACAATCAGAGTTAGTGACGCTTGCTCACCTGAGAAAAAGGTAAGGAACCCTCTGCCTCAGAGGTGTCAAACTCAAATTCATTGAGGGCCGCATCAGCATTGCGGTTGTCCTTGGGGGGCCTGGTGGATGTGGTCAGGGTGGGTGTGGCCTACTGGGTGGGCGTAGATGGAATGGGTGTGGCCTACTGGGTGGGCATGGCCAGCTCTGCATTGTTCGCGGCAAGGGTGCCTGTGGGGGCCTGGGCAGAAGTGGGACAGATCTGAGGGTCTCTGGCAGGGGGTGGGACCGGGGCCAGGGCCAAGGCAGCGGGGGCCGTTCCCTCACTGTTTCCAGGATGGCTTCACGGGCCACATGAAACCACTTTGCGGGCCGCATCTGGCCCCCGGGCCTTGTGTTTGACATGTCTGCTCTGCCTGAATGCCTAAATAGATTATATACTGTTAATATAAGAGGTCCTCGACTTACAACAGTTCATTTAGTGACATTTAGCGACTGTTCGAGGTTACAACAGCACGGAAGAAAGTGACTTATGACCATTTTTCACCCTTGGCTGCAGCATCCCCACGACGGTCACCTGATCAAAATTCAGACGCTTGGCAACTGACTCGTATTTATGACAGTCGCAGTATCCCAGGGGGTCAGATGATCCCCTTTCGCGACCTTCTGATAAGCAAAGCCAATGGGGAAGCCGGATTCGCTTAACAACCACGTTACTGACTTAAGAACTGCAGAGAATCACTTAATGACCGTCGTCAAACGGGGCAAAACTGGCTTAACAACTGCCTCGCTTAGTAACAGAAATCGGGGGCTCACTTGTGGTCGTAAGTCAAAGACTATCTGTAAACGTCATTCAACGTTTGTCTTAATCACCCCCCAAAAAGCCCCACTACACAACTTCTTATTCAGCCCTCTTGTGATGGACGTTGTACATCCCTTTTAGTGGAGAAGCTGTCCTATCTGCAGAGCTTGTAATAAGCAGAGATTGCATGGAATAATCCTGCCAGTTATCTTGTTCTGTTGCTAAAGAGCTGATAGAAGGGAGATCTCTGTTTTTTTATTTTGCATAGCCTCTACAGGGCAGGTTTTTTGTTTTATTTTTTTAATGCTAACTGTATAAGCCAGAGGAGGAATTGATAAGCTAGATAAATAAGGTGTCATCTGAATGCATAAGTGTCCTCTGCTCTAGCCATCCTGGGAAAAAAGCTGTGTCGTAGTAATCCAAATTATATATCACTCCTAGGGGCACAGTAAGGTTTTTATAATCTAGGTCAGTGGTGGCGAACTTATGGCACGCGTGCCAGAGGCGGCACTCAGAGCCCTCTCTGTGGGCACGCGCACTGTCGTCCCAGCCCCGCCTCCCCCCCGCAGCCCCCTCCTCACCAGTAGCCCCCCCGGAGGAGAGTCGCCTCCTGGCGCGGTCCACGCGGAGCAGTGCAGCCAAGGACATGGCAGCAGGGCAGCAGGGACAAGACTCCGCCCTCGCGCCCTATCGCGTGCAGATGATGCTGCGGGGCGTGGGCGGAGGGCGTGGCCACCATGGTCCTGCAGGGCCGCCTGGGCAATCTGCAGCAGGCCATGGAGGTGGTAGGTGGCCCTGCGGGCGGACGGGGTGGAGTGGGGGGCAGAGTAGGGGGTGGCCGGGGCGGTTTTGGGGCACTCGGTCTCTAAAAGGTTCGCCATCACTGATCTAGGTAGTCCTTGACTTACGACCACAATTGAGCCCAAAATTTAGGTTGCTAAGTGAGACATTTGTTAAATGAATTTGGCCTTGACAGCTTTTCTTGCCATCGTTGTTAAGTGGATCACTGCAGTTGTTAAGGTAGTAACCCAGTTGTTAAGTGAACCTGGCTTCCCCCATTGACTTTGCTTGACAGAAGGTTGCAAAATTTTGATCCTGTGACCATGGGGATGCCACAAAGGTCGTTAAGTGTAAAAACTGGTCATAAGTCACTTTTTTTCAGTCTGTTGTAATTTCGAACGGTTACTAAATGAATTTGTTGTAACTTGAGGACTGCTTCTAATGAGCCCATCAACATGACCAAAGATCTTTCATACTCTTAGGTCAGAGAAAAGTTGGCTGAGATCTCCCAAGTTTTCGTCTTACAAACTCCTTGCAAGATTCCTTCCCCCCCCATCCCCCAACTGAAGAACTTAACGATAAGCTTCATTAATGCAAAAAAGAGAATAACTTGCAGTCTTACAGATGGCAGATAATGATATTTCAGTCATTGCAAAAAAAACTGGCTTGTTATTTTTGGAGGTCAAGAAATCTATGTCTCGTTTCAACAACAGCATACGCATTTAGCCATGGTATGAAGAAGCGGGAATTAATTTACCTCAGGATGGTTTATCATTATTATTGTTATTGACCACATTCCAGATTACAAGATCAGCCAG